ACGCGATCAGAGCACGGGCGGGAGGCGATCCCGAGGAATATGACCGCGTGGTATTGCAGGGCATGGGTGGTAAGAGGCCGGCTTTCACTGACGAAATTGCGGGCGTCGTCGGTATGCTCTGCTCCGAAGAGAGCGGTTGGACGACAGGCAGTGTGATTTGCGCCAACGGCGGCATGAAAATGTCAATAGCATAAGGGGAAAGAATGAGGACGAGAGTTAACAATTGCGTTGACTTTCAGGAGGGACGGAGGGTTTGGAGTTACATACATAGAAGAAACCAAAAGCCCAAGGCTGAGAATGACAGGGAAAACGTGTCATTTGAAATAAGCCGCAGTTTCCATCCTCCACAACCTGACACACGACAAGTTTCCCTACGTTTGACCATACCCGTATACAAACCTTCTTCTGGCATATTGCCCCCCTCTGGTACTGTCGTCTTCATCAGCCCAGTCCAAGCCCGTCACGATGGTCGACATTGTACCGGTCTCGTCGTATCCATCCCACATCTCCCTTCTCCCCTCGATCCAACAGTGCAACCTAACGAACCTGCCTGAAAACTACTTCCTCAAATACTACCTCTACCACGCGCTCACCTGGCCACAGCTCTCCTTTGTCGCCGTCGTGCGCGGCTCCGGGTCGAAACCGCCGCGCTACCCGAAAGTCGTGGGATATGTACTTGCAAAGATGGAGGAGGACCCCCCGGACGGGGTCCAGCACGGGCACATTACCAGTCTGTCGGTGATGCGGACACACCGACGACTGGGTATCGCGGAGAAGTTGATGAGGATGAGCCAGCGGGCCATGGCCGAGGTGTTCAACGCCAACTACGTCAGCCTGCACGTGCGCATGTCCAACACCGCGGCCCTGCACCTGTACCGCGACACTCTCGGGTTCGAGGTGGAAAAGGTCGAGAGCAAGTACTACGCCGACGGAGAGGACGCCTTCGCCATGCGCATGGATCTCAAGAGTATGCAGATCAAGAGTCTGCCGGAGGAGGACGAGGACGAGGGCGACGGAGTGGGTTCACTGGGCAAGAAGGGTGAGGAGGGTGAGACGGTCAATGGCGAGAACGGCAAGAAGGAGAAGATGGTCAAGGTGAAAGTCGGGCGCGGGCTGGGCGTGGGAGATCTGGTGGAAAGGAACGAAGGCTCGACGAACGCACAGTATTGATCGAGGCCACCAATCCGACTCAATCGCCCACGTCCACCTCAATCTGGGATTCGACGTGCAGCGACATCTGCTCTCTCTCAGATTGCGGGTCTTGTCAATCAACTGTCCGTCTGCTGCTATGGTCCTAGCAATGAGACCCGGTGACTGTCATCCGGCGCAGACAGCGTACCCTATCGAATGAACCGAAAAGTCTTTTGAGAAGCTCTGTTAGCTTTCTAGGTGGGAACATTCAGAGATAAACCTAGAGAAATCTGAGCAACGTTTCGAGCATGTCTGTTGTTCATGAATCATGAGGATCAGGGATCCTCCCTCTAAACTATTTACAGGACCATCGATGGCAGGGACGTGAAAACGTTCGACCTTGGCCACACCGGGTCATCTTGTGGCAATGTACAGATTGAAGGGATGTTGACACATCGAGCCCTCCTCTCCAATCAACAACCCCAGGGTTGCGTCGACCTCTGTCAACTGCCTGTTAGAGCAGCCTGATAGTTTCTCAGGCCTTTCTTAGCCTTCTGGTCGTCCAGACGCTGCTCGTGATCCCCTCTTGTGACTGTAGCAGACGCCTCGAGTTCGCCTCCCATCTCACTCTCGCCGTCCATATCATCCGTTGATTCGGCGTCTTTCCCATCGTCACTACTTTCAGTGTCTTTCGAATTTCTCCGCATCTCGTTTTGCTCTCTCAGAATCCTTTCCTGCTCGCTCATGGCCTGAAGAGTCCGCAGCGTTTGGGTCAATCCACTAATCAATAATTCGGCCTGGGATGCGCCGCTCTGGTGCCTGCGATGTCGTCCCCCACGGGAGACATACCGGCGGGAGTCACAGCTGGCGCACGCACATCCGGTGCTGCTGCCATAACTGCTTTTGCTGCTGGCGTAGCTGTCGGAGGCTGAACTATATTCCGACCCAGTATCCATGGGTCGAACTTGGGGTCGCGTAGTGGTTGGCGGTGTAGTGAGAGGGATGTCAGAGCGCTTGCTTCGACATATCCGCATTTTCTGAAGTTTGGATTCTTGCTTGCGTTTCTAGTTCTCGATGTCTCTTTCGTTGTATGTTCTCCTGTCGGTTATGCTGTATTGTGTACGGGGTTTGTCTTTGGTGAGAAAGAGTGACAGAAGAGAGTGACTTCGGTTGAGGAAGTGTCAGTAATTTACAAATCTCTGTTTGTCACTGCTCTCCCATACGTTGAAGTCAAGCCATGGACGAAGGTTGCGATATATACATACCCTCTTGCTAAGCAGGGGTAGGGCACTTTAAGCTTCGCTTTCGGCGAATGACCGCGCGAGGACAAGTGACATACTGCGAAGGAGAAGAATTGTTCCGGCGCGGATGCAATCTGAGGCCAGAGTCTCCGACGATGCGTACCGAAAGAAACTTGCCTCGCCTCTCCAGTTTTATCTCCGCCAGGCAGGCAGACAGTCCACTACATCGTGCTTAGCGAAAGACTGCATGTCGATCGCTGCTCAAGGTGAGATCACGGCAAGACCCGCCTGCGGATAGCAGCGAGTGGCACTCGTCTATCGGCGTTGCAGACAACCCGCCCATACCCGCGGGTGTCCGATGGGGGACTGCAACAACCCGTTGTCGAACCATGGGGGATATTTTTCTCAGAGACCGGTAATCATCTTCCAATAATTATCTTGTCTTCTATTTTCATTGTCAAGGCGAGAAACAACAGGCGAATGGGTGTGACGGGACAGCTCTGGTTTTCGTGGCCGGGACAATACCTCGTACTCGTGCTCGTACGGCCGAGAGATTTTTGTGGTTGAGCGGCTTTCTGCTTATTCGGCCGTTTGTAATTGTCGGATCGGAGCCGTGTGCATTTGGCGAGCCGTCAAGAGATGTCATGGTCGTTAGCTTTGTTTGGAACCGCTTAGAAGGGTCATCACTGCGTGCCTTGGATCTTTAACACAACATAGGAGCACCCTCCACCTGTCACTGCGCGTTTTGCATTGTTCTTCTCAACGTGCTCAGCGCCGCCATTCACTGGGCTTTGGCTTCCGCAAGCGACTGGAGGCATGGAAAGGTTCTGACGACGGCGGCTGGGACGACGAAGCGTCATGGCGAGACTGATGAGATGACTCATCTTGTTGCTGAGGTCATTTGCATTGTAAGCCGATCGGCGTTGTATCAGAAGAAGATGGTGAACGAAAGAAGCTGGACGAGATCGTGTGCAAGGAACAATGATATTCCGATCCCAAATTGCAGAATCCGAGTCATTAACAAAGAACAGCCTCTTCTTTACGTCGTCTCTTCTCGTCCTTTGCCCCTTCTTTTTTTATGAGAACATGTTTCTTTGTACTAATCTCCGTTAGGAACATCCCATCTCACAGGCAAGGAGGCTAATATTGAGGAATGTACCGATACCGTGGCTATAGAGGTAGTTTGGATCCGATGCGAACAACAATCGACCAATATATAACGTCGACTTATGGTGCTGTGCCTGCAGCTATGCTAACCTGTCGAGCTTGCGACCCATTGGAGCGTAGAGAACACCCACAGCTCCGGTTTCCTCTTGATATACCCATCAGCGGCAAAGGAGATGCCTCATCAGCGGAACAGTTGATGAGCCCTCAGACCCCGAGATGAAGTCAGTCGCGCTGGAAACAAGAGGTACCCATAGCGATATCCTCCTCAAGCCTCGAATCGAGAAATGCAGTGTAAGGATTTACAATGTGAGAGACACTCGAGAACGCTAGAACAGTCGCTGTGGGCCAATATCGTACCCCACGCTACCCTGACAACCTGTGTGTCTCTGGTTATATCGCTTGGTTGGGGAGGAAGAAAGGACAAGACGAGGACATGGACCGGGAAGATACCAAGCCCTCGCTGCTTAAGCCTCCACTCTCGTGCTGGAGTTATGCCGGGTCTATCGTAAAGGGCCCATCACTCGGAATCCAGTAACAAAGAAAGCAAATAAGGTACGCAGTGGACAATAAAACCAAATAGCTTAAACCTTACAGAGAAGTTACAGTACAGTGCGAATAGCACGGTACAGCAGATCTAATTGAACTCCGAGAAGGCGGCTATTTATATCGCGCAAGGGCCTATGCACAGTACCTACCCACCTACGCAAAAGAATTCCATCTCATCTTCCTGCATGTCCTCATCACAATAGTACGTGCACAGACAACCACCAGGATGGATGCCCAGAAACCGCATTGCTAATTAGCGTGGGACGAGCAACTCTTGACTGGTGCTGCTGGTGCTTGCGCAAACCCGTGTTCGCTTTCTTGAGGGGTTAGCGCCGTACAGCCTCGCCGCAGCTCTGTGACAATTGCCAGTCCACGTCGAACGGGCGGTCGCAGCGTGCCACAAGAGTGGGATGTGGCCTCGACCGAGCCGTGCTAATGTCTAGTCTTGTTCGCATCTTCGCTTCGATTCCTCACCGATGATCGCGTGTGACGACCAAGATGGAGAGAAAGATGGGTTGAAGGGCATGGGGAGGCGAATGGGGAACCCAATCAGAGGGATGGAATGCTGGAGAGAGGGAGGGCGAGTGGCTTCCCAGCCCGCCACGTCAATGGAACCTGTAGGCGCCGTAGGAGGGGAGCTTCTGGCCTCAGAGGACAACCTCAATCCCTCCCTTGACAAAACTTGTTGGACAGCCGCACCCTTCTCCCAACCCGCTGTCCTCCCTTCTCACCTCTCTTTTTCTGCCCTATTCCTTCAATCCTTGCCGGTTGGCTACAGAAAACCACACGAGGCAGAGCGCGACCCTGTGAACAGCATCGCATAGCATATCACAGCATTGCATAGCATAGCATAGTTACCGAAATCCCGTCCTCCTCTCCTCCACCCTATCGCCACCCCCGAGCAGAGCCCAAAGAATGGAGCAGGCAGGCTTGGTTCTGGGCAACATTGCCATGTCCAGTTTTTTGACCACGTGTCTGGATGGGTGCAACTACGTGACGCTGGATGCCCAACATGGAGGAGAATTCAACATGGCCTTCACGAAGCTCCTCCTCCTGAGAGGCTGGCTCACTGCGGTGGGGTCGACGGTTCGCGGGACTTCTTCGGCCAACCATCCGCCAGCGATGCAAGCACAGTTGGAATACCAGAAGCAGGTGGTCAGAGTCAGCGTCGAGAGCTTGAGGCGGCTGCTGCAGCACTCGAAGAAGTACCATGAGAAGTCCGGGCTCAAAATCAGGGCGGACAGGTCTGAAGGAGTGGTGCATGTAGGTGAGATGGCGGCGATCGAGCCAGCGTTCTATGAGACAGAGGGCGCAGTCCCAGAGCAAGATCCCTATTCAGATTCTCCTCACTTATCCTCGTTCACCAAGACGGCCCCGGGTCAAGCCCAGACGCTGGAACATCATCGCAATGTCGAAGCCCACATTGCGGACCTCGACAACTTTGTGAACAGACTCGACTATCTGCTTCAATATCTCGGGCTGGTCGACGACGACGCGATGCAGGTCGAGCTGGTAGAGCGAGCGATGGAGGCCATCCCTGAGCCAGCCAGCATTCGGTTGTTGCTTCAAGCTTCCGGGTCCGACTCCCACGTCCCCGAAGGCATCTTCCCCACCGCTGCAGCTGCTGGTGCCGCCAACTTCGCGGCCACGGGCCTTGCCGAACCGACCAAGTTAGCAAGTCATCAGTACATTCGAAATCTCATCAAGGAGCAAGCAATGACCGTCATGGGGGACGTGGGACACGTCAACGGCAGCGCCAGGAGTTTTTACCAGGAGAACGAGATGAGTGGAAGATCGCAAGCCGTCCTGGGCAACGTTGACGGCGCCTTTGGAGTGGGTTTCTTTGGCAGGACCCAGACCGACAAATCTTAGATAACGCAGCTAACGACCGAACGAGCTAACTATGTTACCTATAGAGCGAGGGTTGAATAGTGTGAGCATTGGAAAGAAATAAAGGGGGAGGGTCATTATTATGATGGAAACCACAGAACGAGGGTACACACACAGAGAAACTTACTACTACCAGGATTATAAGCACAATCAATCTTCTTTCTTTCTCTTTGCGTTTGATGTTCTGTGATCTCAAAAATGACGCCCCATAGTCTGAATAACCTGCTGAAATGCGCCCAATGAACCTAGCTAGCCAGGAAATATGCAACGATGATACCATCCGTGCCATGCCCACGTCTCGTGATTCTTGACCCCTTTTGTTGTAGTCAAACAGATGCATGCCAGATAAGCACACGTTCATCTCGCATCAAAACATGTCATGTCATGTCACGTCACCCCTTTTCACCTTTTCCTCGGGCTGGCTGTGCCTGCGCTGGCCCCATCGTCGTCGAGCTCGTCCTCCTCCTCGATCAAAGCCGGTGTACGTCTTTCGTTCCGTCTCTTTGGTCGTCTCCTCCGCGCACTCGAGATGTTGCTGGCTGAATCGTCCGGCTCGATCTCTCCTAGCCCATCCCACTCCCCGAGCCCGTCGTCAGTCTCGGCGTCCCATCGCGCTGCCGTCCCGTTTTCTCCATTGGGCAGGGTCCCGCCCGCCGGAGTATCCATGCGGACCTCGATTCCGCCACCCATCACGCCGCGTCGGCGCTGGGCGGCTGCTGCTAGGCCCGCGGAGCGCTCTCGTAGGGCTCGACGAACGTTTTCCGCCTTGTTGTGCAGGATCTCAAAGGCATCTTCGAGGGCTTCCATTCCGGCATAGATGTCACGTTCGATCTCGGCCAGGGTCGCAAGCTCGGTCTCTTCATCGAAAGCAATGGGTGCTCCGTACTGGGCATTGGGAACGCCATTTGTGTGCGCGTAAGGTTGGGAGTAGCTAGTCTGGCGAGAACCGTACCCATTACCATTAGTTTGAGGCCCATAGCCAGGCGTAGCGCCTCGGGTCGGGGGCCGATAGGGCGTCGGTCCTCTTGATGGGATGTGCTCCGGTATGGGAACGTCCTCTGCTCCGCTCCTAAGAAACCCATCAAAGCGGCCAGAGATCAGGATGTCCCATTCGTCGTTGGAAATCGCGGCCAAGGTGGCCAGTGCGTTGTGCATTGAACGATTATTGAGTAAGAACAGTGCAGCCTCGCAATCTCTAGGCGCGGTTGCTAATCGGTATAACCTTTGTATCGCTTGCGAGGCAACAGCGATGTATGGAGGCTGAACTCGGGGAGCGGGCGTTGGAGTTGGCGTCGGGTGAGGCGGACGGGGTTCGCCATTTTGCTTCTCCAGTTCGGGGGTCGGTGCTCGTCTAGGAGGTTCAATCGGCCGATCCACGATACCGAGCAGATCTTTGAAGATAGGCCTTTGACCAGCGGGAAGGTGTGTCAAGATGGCAAAGGTTAAGGTCTCCTCGTCGACCTCTTCAGGTGGCGAACTAGGGTCGTCACTCTGTCGACTAAGCCACTTGTCCACGCTCTGCTTCGTCTTGCGAGACTGTCGGATGTAGTGTTCTCTGTACTCTTCCGGTACATCAATGTCGAGTTTCTGCATGGGCACGCGGAATTCTAGAGAGATCCCCAATCCCACCGGTGACTGCGTGAAGGCGAATGGTGGCCAACTGGGGAGATCTTTTCGCCCGGACACCAGCTCCAGGACTTCGCCCCAACTGACACCTCTCACGTCCTCAGCATGATCGTATTCGCACATCGGACATTGACAGGCTTCCGAGGAGATATCCCGCGCAAAAACAGCCTCAAGTCGATCCAGAAGTCGGCGTGCCACTGAGCGGTATCCAGTGGCTACGGCTAATGAACCGTTCTTCGACATGACTTTTTCGTAGTCATCAAGCAGCGCAACATAAGGTTCGAATAGATTTGCAACCAAAATAGAGTGTTGATTCGGCGGCTGAGCTTGTTGCACCGCCATGGGTTTTCCCGCCAGTAGCAAATTCTTCGTTACCGACTGGTTTAGTCCACCATATTGCAGCAGGTAGTCGACCTTGGGTACAGAGACGGGGATGGGCGCGGGAGGCGGTGGCGGAGGTCCGGGGGTTTGTGAGACACCCGCAGGGGTCCCCGTTACGACTGAGGCATTGTCCTCTATGTAGACTTCCATTGGTGTAACTCCCCTTGACTGGGGGATGACAACTGTTGGGCCATCGGTATACACGGTGGTGGGAGGGATTTTTGACCCTGGCCGCTGAATGGTAGGTTGTTCTGGGGCTATCGAAGTCGCTTCGGAACTAATGTTCGTGCCAGTTTCGGTTGCACTGTTGGTAGTTGTGGGAGAAGCAGTCCGGGTGGGTTGGCTGACTGATCTCTGAGAAATTGGCATTGTTGAGGCTGGGGTTACCGATTTCAATGGCGTGGTTGGTGTATCGCGCGGTTTCCGGGTCGGAGAACAGTCTGTGCCCAGCTCAGAGGAAGTACGCAGGTGGCCCTTGGATCCTCTTGTTTTTGGTATGAGGCGTGCCTTGGCTGTAGTCTTCACATCTCCCTCCGTCTGAGAACCCATCTCTTCTTCCTGAATGGTGTTGACCGACACGGGCCTTCCGACATTGGCTTTCCATTTCGCCGTGCCCGAGTTCCTGTCGGTGAGCGGCGGACTGGGCGGCGCCTCATGCGCGGACGTAGAATGCCTCGAGGGTGGTTTGTCTTTGGAAATATTCAGATCGGTCGCAGGGGGAGTGAGGACGTTGAGGACGGGGTGACTTCCCAGTCCGACGGCTTCACGGCTATGTTCTCTGGAGAACGAAGGATAGGGCAGGCTGGACTTGGAGTCCGATTTGATGGGAACATCTTCGACCTTTCCAGGCATGGAGGACCGTCTCTTTTCATTGACCGGTGAGATGGATGTTCTTGAGGATGTCTTTTCGCGGACAGAGGCTTTGCGATGCGATCGATGTCTTTCCTTGTCCTTGTCTCTGTCTCTGTCCCTGTCCTTATCTCTATCCCGGTCTCGGTCACGGTCACGGTCTTTTTCCCGATCTCTCTCTCGGTCTCGATGATCTCGTTCTTTTCTGTCCTTTTCTGATCGTGACGACTCCTTTTTCTCGCGCCGCCGCTCGGTGCTATTATCTCGAACTTTGGAAGGCATGATAGTGAACGGGCGGTCGCATGATGCGGCCGCACTTTGTTGTACTTCAAGGCGCTTAGGCCGCAGGTACCATTTGTGCCCAAAGGCGACTTATTGTGGACTTGGTCGGGGGCGCTTAAGCGGGCGGGGAGAAGACCCTGTCACCACAAAGGACGGGAGGATGGTTTGGCCAGGATGTTCGAAGATATCGGTCGAAGGAGAGAGACAGGTTGTGAAAGGGTACTGAGCTTTATGGAGGCAAGGGTCAAGGGTTGAGTGTCGTGTCACTCTGTGGTTTGGTTCTTGCAAGAAATGAGGCCCCCGTCTGCGATGATGTCGTTGGTTGTCGTGGCGCAGTAGGTCGAATTGCTGGTGGCGGGAAAATGGCAAGGCTGGTTGATTGGATCCTTTCCAGGCGCCCTCCTCATTTTCCATTTTCCCATTTTCCCACGGGGATGCACCAGCCAAAACAGATCAGCAATAATTCTATTCTGGATAATAGATCTTTTACAGGCGCTTGTTTGCTTTCAAGATGCAATCGATCCATGTGTACCTCGTATCCCACTGAATATCCCTGTCCAAATGCAAAATGCGCAAACTCAAGGACCCACGATTCCTCACAACCTACCCTCAGCGCCTCACCAAACATACCCCATCGCACCTGAGCGCAGACCTGATTTTATCTATCATGCTCGTCATTCTCGTTCTCATCTGAAAGTCATTCTATTTACATTCAAAACTAGGAGTGCGCCGCCGCATATGGCCGCAGCACCGACCATACCAGTTCTCGCCGGTACTGCAGCTCCAGAACTACTGCTTGATGTTGCTGTTGCACCTGTGGCGGATTGACTAGCCATCGTGGTAGTTGGCACCGCCACTCCCGAAGTGAAAGGGATGTTGCTGGCAGAGCTAGCACCACTGAATGCAGGCGAGCCAGATGTCTGGGATGGGTTGGGCATCGCGGTGGTGTTGTTGGGGTTCAGCACATTGTCAATGACGTGAACCACACCATTAGCGACGAGGACATCGGGCACAACCACTCGTGCACTATTCACAAAGACCTCTCCGTTTTCGATGGTGACAGTTAGGTTGTTGCCCTGAGCGGTTTGCACCTTGCCATTCTGCAACAGGGTGCTGTACCCGACCACGCCTTGAACCAGATGATACTGGAGGATCGAGGACAAGTCTTGCGTGGTCAGACTTGGGAGAGCAGACCCAATCGCCTCGAATGCTTCGTTGTTGGGTACGAACAAGGTAATATCAGATAGGATGTCGACCGCTGTCGTCAGGTTTGCATTGGTGAGAGCACCCACAGCAGCAGAGAGGTTGAGTTGAATTGCTGTATCCGATATATTTTGCGGGACAGTCAAGACGCTGTCAAGAATGTGTACCACGCCACCACTGAAGGTGACAGGGCCGCTGCTAACACTGGCATTATTGAGCAACCCCGAGGTGAAGGAAGCTTTGTTCTTTTTGGAAGTTGCTCCCACCACTTGACCGCCAGTTACGTTGGTAAATTGAGGCGAGTGTAGAAGAGTTGGGATGAACAGCTTGTCGCTAAAGTCTGTATACGTCCCGTTCAACACGTGGTAAGTCAACAGCGCTTCAATCGCCGAAGTGTCGTTCTGAACCAGCGCAACTCCTGCGGAGGAGTTGAACAGCTTCGCAAAAGCATCGTTGTTGGGTGCAAGAAGAGTGATGTTCTGCAGTGATGCCAACGTCGTCGTAAGGTCCGGAAACAGTTCCAGGTAGGCGGTAAGGTTGGACAACTCGGGTGTGTTTGCGAGTATTGTGGTCAAGTCCTGTGCAACAGCCACGCCAAAAAAGGCCCCTACGGTCAACGTCCTGAACCACGTCATTGGATA